AAAAGAAAAAGATCACCCATATGCTCAAAATTTTTTTCTTCTTTTCATAGAAGTTTCTAGGTTACATATGTAAGTCTTAGTTATGGAAGGGGGGGGTGCTAAAGCTAGCAAAAAGCTTTTCACCTTAAAAGGGGAATACATATGCTGCTGTTCCTTAAAAAAAGGAGGTCAGGAGGTACCTTTGAAGGTGGGATTCCTAAAATTAATCAAGTTGCATCAATACAAAACAGTTATTCAGTTCAAAGATACCTACAAATTAGCAAGCAAAAAGACACAAAAACAAACCAAGAAAACCATCAATCGCTGATATGTATACACCAAAGGAAAGGCTAAAAGTCAACTACTGTTTTGCTCCAAATACTGGATAGTCTCCTATGCAATTGCCATGGTGAAAATAGTCATTACACAATGTAGTTTTGGTCACAATCATATTCTAGTCTAGACATAGAATATTAAACACATGCACACCAGAATTAACCTACTTCTTACCGTATTTACCCTAGTCCAAACTAGATCCTATACGTAAAAAATTATAAAAATTTATATCTTTCCACAGATAGAAACTAATTGGAGGGTCATCCTAAATTCATCCTCCCTACTACTCTGCCAGGGAAAACAGCAGCAGGGGGACCTGGGCTGTCTGGCCCTCACCAATTGCCCCCACCTCCTGCCACTCAACCTATGCAGCAGCTCTGACCCCAGCCCAAAGCAGCAGCTTCAGCCTGGGGCAGACAGCAGTGGTGAGTGACTCTGGCCCCAGGTCAGCACCTGAGCTCGGGCCAAAGCCAAAGCAGCTTGCCTGCAGCTGTGCAGTTTCCCCCATGCTCCCTCTGGGCTGCATACAGCAGGTCTCTCCCACGTTCTCACGCCAGGTGGTCTCTGCTGCTGCATGAGCCACCTTAAGCCATCCTGGCCCTAGCCTGACAGCAGCAGCAGTGACAGCTCCAGCCTCAAGCCCATCACAGAGCAGGCAGCAGCACTGGACCTAGACAAAAGCTGAAGCAACTGCTTGCCCTAAGATGGTACTCAAATCCAAAACTAGGCTCCCTGCAACTGCACCCCATCCCCAAACATTTAACGGGGAAAAATCCTTCATCTCAGATCCGAGTAAATATGGTCACCAAAGTAAGTGCTCGCATTGCTCTAGTCTAAGTAAAGCCTCCTCCAAGACTGAATGGTAATATACCCTAAGCAAATATACTACAAAAATTACCCACCAAGCGTACACCTCTAAAAGCCACCATCTTTAGTACCATACTTTCCAAGTAGGAACAGTGAACAAAAATATGTTTCCAACTGATCAATCAAACCAGAGCACTCTCAAAAAGTGTGGCTTACAGTGATCACAGGTCAATATCAACTTTCTTACAAATCACAATCTCCCAAATAGTGTATTTAGATCAATTTATGTATGGGGTAATTAAAAGTTGAGATTTCTCATCCACACAAAAAGTGAATGTACAACATTTAGTGGTATATGGGAGTCCTGGGTAATTGAGTAAAATCTTTCTACATACGTTAACATTTTTCCAAGTATCTTTAAGGTAACTGCAAAATTATATTACAATGTTTTATTAAAAGGCAGACATGCAAAATACCTCTTCCCTGGTAAGTCCTCTACTTGCAAAGTTACTTTTTCCAGATGTAAAATGTTTTAACAGGTTTTTATTTTTTTTCTTTGTTCAAGTAAAATAGTGTTCATTACATTTTTCTTCTTCATAGAATTTTAGCATTTTCATGGCAAATACACTGGCTATGCTGTTTCCATGGAACTGTCATTCTTCCCCATCCTGCAGCTTTATATTGCTCTTAGTTTTATTAACTAAGAGTTTATTAAGAAAAATTTAACATAGTTTATTTCTTCTCCAAAAATCAAAATCATAAAACTAACATAAAATATATGCTGAGAAAAACCACAAAGCCTAAAGAGATCCATAAGCTTTGACTGGTAATAGTTAAAGCTTGAGTACACCATTTTAGCTCAAAACAAATATTCAATAAACGGTTTTGTTAGGAAAGATATATTGCCATTTTAATGGCTTTGTATCCATTCTTATGATTGCTCCTGAATCTTACCAGAAGTCAGATAATTAAAGCAGGAACTTTTACAAAAATTGGTTGTGCATTTCATTGTATTCTTAGGATTAAATTATACACTTACATGTAGAGTATTTAAACTTTCTGCTGGGTTCTTTCCTGCTGCTCTCTTTTGGAAATTTGCTTTCCAATGGGATGTCAGAGTATTACTAAATTTAAAATCACTAGTCTTCGCTGATGCCTCTAGCTCCTTAATTTAGTAAAACAATCAAGTCATCATACATGACATTATATTTGGTGCATTTGTTTCTTTGTTTTCAAAAAACAGAAAGAAAAATATATAGAAAGAATTGGAACAAAGCATAAGGAGAGGAAAATGCTCCTTATAAATTTCTTGTAAAATTATTATTATAAAAAAAGTTTAAGAACTGCACCACAGTAATAAGAAACAGTATAAAAATAAGTATTCTTGCAATTTAAAGTTGCCTGTGAAATCCTAACTAGCAGCTGTTTCCTTCATCATTAGTAATAGAAGTCACAAAGGCATATTTACTGACTCTCCTAGATTAAGCATCAGAGTCTCACATCCCCTGCATTGACCTTAGAGAAACAAAGAAACTGAAGCAAAACAAAACAAAGCTCACCCCTTTGCTACCACATATCTAGAGAAAATAGGATATTATTGGTTTCCAAGTAGCCCTGTCCCTTGCCCTCTGAAAAAAATGCAAAATATAGTCATTAAATTGCCTGTTTGGAAATAATGATTCATTTTAAGTAGATTAGTTGATACATCTGCAGGACTCAAACTATTTTTATCCTCATTTTAAAGAGCACCCCAGACTGCAGATATCCAGTTGACTGGAAACAACTCAAGAGTTCCATTTATTAGTACCAAAATGGACATTCTTTTTCTTCAACATTTTCCCCCCAACCCCTGGCAATACATAAGACAGGTATCAAAATACATATTTCAAAACCTGAAAACTAGCCTTTAATTTGCTGTCATCTATACCTTGATGTACTGTGTCCTTTCATTAAAAAAATCCCTCCCTCAGGTTCAGTTACAGGGGGCGTGACTACACAAGACACTATGCCACTACAGCGACATGGATTCAGTAGGCACAAACCGCGACACCAACACTACTGAGCAGTTGCTTGTTGCTACTGCGCAGTAGCATCAGAAATAACCCATGCAGTGCTGGGACTGCGCAGTAACTTACTGCACAGTTATTTAGTATTTGCTTAAGTCCAGCTCCTGTCCAGGGGTCAGCAAGTACTAAATGACTCTGCAGTAACAACTGCCCCATCTGGCGCACAGGTAGATGTGCCCAGGGTCTCATTTATTGCTCAGCTACAAAAATTAACTTTAAGACATGTAGTGACACATGTTGCATCTCTAAAATCCAAACCCTGTCCTTAGGGCTTTCTGGAAAATCAAATTAAAACACCCCTTCTTGCCCCCCCTCAATTAAACCAATTTTAATTTATCATGTCATTTTTACTATTAATGCAAAAATTAAGAAGCCTCTGCATCTTAGAATAAATATTCTACTATTAATTTATGGAGGAGGAAGAAAGTAAAGTGAGCCACATGAGCAAGAGAAGGTCTTAGACACAACAATGAGAACTACCACTCTATATATCAGAAGTTTCTCCAAGTACAGTGAAGTTTCCTGGTAAGAGTATGTACTGGGAACATGCATATACAAGAGCACTCAGCCTGTCTAAATCAGACATTTCCAAACGTAACAAATTTCATCCAGAAAAAATATTACACGACTTCAAGACAAAACCACATATACTGTTTCACAAATAAGGAGGCATTCCACTCACAACAAAAGTTTACTCACAGTAAGAAAAAAAAGTGGGGGTGGATTTATAAGACTGAACTGTATTCACCAAAGGACTATTCTAAATCTAAATGAAATCAATACAGATTCCCTATGAAATCAAAGTTAGGGCCTAAATTTGTATCCTATTTAAATCTGGTCTAAAACTTAACTATAAAATGATATAATTTTAAAAAGATAGAAATACATGTATGCTAGGACATTTCAAATGTCTTCATAATTACAAACACACTTATTGTACTAGTGTGTTAAACATTCAGAAAAGTTCCAGTTTATTATCTTGTAGATACCAAAGAAAATATAGTGGATTCTGGACCAGAATTTTTCCTCATTTAGGAAAGATATTCTTGGGATTAAAGCACTTTATTGGATCATGATGTGCATTCAGCTTCTGGCAGTAAGGAAGTTTCCTACATGGTCCTACCCAAGTCATTCCATCTTTGTCTCTCTATTTCCCCATGTATAAAATGGAAATAATAATAATCCCCTACCTCAAAGCATGCTGTGAAGTTAACTTCAATACTGTGTGACACATTTGGATAGGAGGAGCATAATTATATATATATTTTTTAAAGTTAGTGCAACAAAAACTTCTTAAAAATAATTCTGAAAGAGGCACTTAAGAACTGCAGCTTTTACACAAATGCTTTTAGTACAGGAAATGCTTATGGTGCCAAAGTCAGCCAACAGTTTTATGTCAGAAGTAAATCAATTCCTCTTACTGCACACTGTACTATTAAAATGTATATAAAAAAACCTTCAATCACTGTTGCCATTTTCAGAAGCTCAAAATAAATACAGAAGAGGCAAGCCAATCCTTGGTTGCATAAGAGCACTTTAAAGCACATGGTTATTTACCAAACCTGATGTAATTATAATGCAAAGGGTGGATCTTAAATAAATAGACTTAAGAAACACTGCATGAAGTAGAAGACATGAAAGTATTATTTTTATTAATTTTATTATAGTTGCATCAAGAGGCCTGAGTCAGAATGACTGTGCTGGGTACTGACACCAACATACAGAAAAATAAAGAGGAAAAAACAGCTAGAATGTATCAGGCATGCTCTGATGTACTGAGAGAAACAACATCAAGTATTCTCTGCAACCTACCAGATCTGGACTTTATGATATCACTGAATTCACTGTGTCCTTCACCTGGACCCTCCTCTTGATCTGAAACCTTGGCCATCCTTACAGTCTTGAAAATCCTCTCTAGTAAAACTTAAACCTTTACCAAAACAGTTCTCATATGCAGGACTGGTTCAGAATCAGTACCTAAAATATGAAAGGAAAAAGAATAATTAAAAAGATAAGCCATTCTACAGATGACACCTAGAACAGACAAACTTTTACCCAGGACCCCTGTAGAACATCCTTTATTTGAGGTGTACTTCACACACACACTCTAGACCAAAGGTCTTTGATTATGCTGCGACTCAAGTAAAGATTTATCGAAATGTATTGCTCCCACCGGAGACAGACATTGGGACAAAAGATCAAGAAATAAGCCACCATAATTAGAATATCAGTGTGGTAAAGGCACATGCCCTGCCTAATCTTAGTGGATGGAAGGGATTTACAAAAAGCTTTTCCCAGGGCAGAGAGACACGCAGGCTGGCAGTAAGAACTGCTGTCACAGCCGCCCTCAGCCACTGAACAGAAGTGAACTGGGAGTGGCAGAGCTGACTTCCTTATTCGTGTGCAAGTTACACAGGACACATCTTGCCAACTGCTTCGAAGCGCAGACCGCTCCCCAAACTTGGCTCGAGTCCTTCTCACTAGTCACAGGGGCTCCGGCCTCCTCTGCCCCCATCACCTCCTTCAAGGCTCTTCTTTCCTTAATAAGCAGATCTCCTTCTCACCCTGCCCCATGGTGCGGACACATGTGCGCAACACACACAGCCGTGAGTGTAACAGACACACATAACAGACACGTGTGTAACAGACCCAGAGACATGCCAACACCCACATAAACACACAGATGCGCACATAACAGACATGCAGATGCACATAATGCATCCAGATGTGTCTAACGGGTGTGCCTATTCTGTGTGCAACAGAAGCGTGCAGACACACACCAGTTGTGTACAGACACATGTAACAGTCATGTGTAACAGAGACGTGCCAATACTCACAGAAGCACAGCCACGCATGCAACAGGTGTGCAAACACACAATGTCACATGTCTAGCGGCGTGCCTATTCTGTGCACAACAGAAGCGTGCGGACACACACACAAGGGGTGTGCAGGCACATGTAACAGACATGTTGCAGAGATGTGCCAATACTCACAGAAACGCAGACATGCACACCAACGCATGCCTAGCAGCGTGCCTATTCCGTGTGCACCAGAAGCATGCAGACACACACACAAGGTGTGTGCAGACGCGTGTAACACACATGCAGGCACGTGCACGTCACAGATGTGCATCACACGCAGAAATGCACACAACTGCGTGCATGCACACACACACACACCCCCGTCTGACACACACACGTGAGGCGTGCAACACATACGACGCGTGTGCACAGGCAGCCTCCCGCGTAGCCGTGGCCCCTTGAAGACGGGGGGGAGGGGGGTCCGGCCCCGCCCGGAGGGGACGTGGCGCTGCCGCGCGGCTCCCCCGCCCCCGGGGCTTGCCCCGCGCACTCCCC